TCTCCATGAGTTCTTGTAGTTACTAGATTTTCTTCTGGTGTTGATTTTAAGCTTTATTGCATTCTGGTCTCATAGAATGCATGGAATTACTTCCATCTTTTTGTATTTGTTGAGGATTGTTTTGTGCACCAGTATGTGGTCAATTTTGGAGAAAGTTCCATGGGGCTCTACATAGAAAGTATATTCTTTAGTGCTAGTATGGAATATTTGGTAGATGTCTGTTAGATCCATTTGATGTATGGTATTGTTTAATTCAGATATCTCTCTATTCTCTGTCCTGTTAACCTATCTAATGGAGACAATGGGGTGTTTAAGTCCCCTACCATTAATGAGTTGGGATTCATCTGGGTCTTAAAGCCAGTATTACTGATTTTATGAAGTTGTCTGCCCCAGAGTTTGGTGAATATATGTTCATGATTGTAATATCTTCTTGTTTTATTGTTCCTTTGATCAGAATGAAGCATCCCTCTTTGTCTCTTCTGATCAGTTTTAGTTTGAGGTCTGTTTTTTCAGATTTTAATATTGCAACTCCTGCTTTTTTTTAGTACCAGTTGCTTAGAATATTTTTTCCATCGTTTCACCTTAAGGTAGTGCCTGTCCTTGAAAGTAAGATGGGTTTCTTGCAGACAATATAAAGGTGGGTTTTGTTTCTTAATTCATTCAGTCTGTGTCCTTTGACTGGGGAGTGCAGCCCATTGATATTTAAAGTTATTAATGAAAGATGTGTATTGACTTGTGTCATTTTGATTTTTGTTCAGATTCTTCGTGTAACTGAGCATTTCCACAGTTATAGCTTCATTAATTTCTTCTGTTACCCCTTAGGCATAGTCATTCCTTTTTTTCTGCTCTTTGTTATGCTTTGAGAAGTCTCTGTAGGACCGGTTTTGTGGACATGAATTCTTTCACCTTATTTATGTCATGGAAGACTGTTGTTTCCCCTTCGAGTATAATAGACATTTTGCCTAGGTAAAGTAATCTTGGTTGGAATCTGTGGTCATTTAGAACTGGGAATGCTTTGGTTCAGGCTATTCTGGCTTTCATAGTTTGCGCTGAAAAGTCAGCTATAATTCTGATGGCCTTTCCTATGTATGTGACTTGTTTTTCTTTTGCAGCTTTCAGTAGTCCCTGTTTCTTCTGTATGTTTAGTGTTTTTACTATGATGTACTGTGGAGAGTTTCTTTTCTGGTCTTGTCTCTTTGGTATTCTATATACATCTTATATTTGTATGAGCATGTGTTTCTTTAATTTTGGAAATTTGTCTCTACAATACTGTTGAAGATCCATTCCATACCATTATCTTGAGATTCTTTTCCTTCCTCTATGCCTATGATGCATAAGTTTGGTCTTTTTATGTCTGCATATTCCATTCTTGAGTTTTGTTACATTTTTCATAATCTTTGCTTGTGTGATCTATTTTGCCTGCTTTATCTTCCAGTTTTGACATTCTGTTTTCCCTTTTATTCATCTCATTGGTGAGGCTTTCTCCTGTTGTTTCTAGTTGGCTTATTGATTATTATTTCATTTCATCCTGAGTATTCTTCAATATTTCTAGCTCTTTTCTGAATTCACTCAAAAGTTTATTCCTATTTTCTTTCAGTTCTTTGATTTCTTTCTTTCTGTGTTCTTTAAGTTCATTGAATTCCTTTATCATGTTATAATTGTTTCTAAATTCCATGTCTTGTGTTATTTCTAGGGCATTCTCATTGCACTCCTCTACAGGACTGTTGGTACTTGGTGGGGATATGTTATTTGGGTTTTTCATGTTATTATTTTTTTGCTGTGACTTTGACACGTGGAATTCTTTTGTAGTTTCTCAATCTTGTGTGAGAATCAATCCTCCTTCCTTTGTTGAATTTTGGTCTGCTTTGGTTTGTAAACTTTATGTGGCTTTGTGATTTACTTGTTGGGCATTAAAAGCTTGTTGTCCTAGGCTTGAGGTTCTCGATTTTGATTTTATATTGGAGGGGCCAGATGGTTTCATACTGCTGCTCAGGAGTACCCACAGAGGCCCAAGTTGGATGAGGGTCAGATGCTCTCAGGCTTTCTCCTAAGGTCTGGATCTGCCTTGTCAGCAGGCACAGTACAACTTGGGATAATTGCTGGGTAGACCTAGGCTTCAGGACTCTCAGGAAGTCAGGGAAGGAGACTGGTCTAAGGAATCAAGAGCAAGCATGGAAGGAGTCTGGTCTCAGGAATCCAGGTTAGGGGTGGGACAGTAAGAAATGAAGGCTGGTCTTAGATATGGAAAGGCAATGTAGGGAGGGAAAAAGGTTTGAGGGTTCCAGTGTACTAGAGCAGGAATAGGAATTGGGTTGTTCTGTGTGCAAAGGATCAGGAAACAGTGGAGAGTCTGTGACAAGAGGGTAGTCCAGAGGTCTGGGGAGCCAAGAGTAGTAATGGGCCAGTGCCCACACTAGGAGGAGACAGAGGGTGGGGGAGCTGGGAGGATGAATGTGATGGTGGGAGTCAGGGTGCATCCCACTCTATTTTTTAACTGAAAATATAACATCATCCTTTTCCTTGTGTGTGTGTCTAATATGTATATTATGCACATGATATTAATGCTTGGAAGGATTAATAAATATACTTAGATGCATAAAAATTAATATACTGTCATCTTTTGGTATTTGTTGATGAACAATTCCATGAAACTCTGTCAAGAACGAAATAAATAGGCACTTAATTCTCATACAAAAAGTGCTAGTATTTGCACATAATTAACTCTTCTTTCTACATCCATTAAATCATTTCCATATTACATGTGATTCTTTATAAAATGTAAATATTCTTTCCATAATTATACTGAATTTAGAGAATCATGCCAAAGAAAAGAGAGTTCTGTTTATATTTAATACATATGTGGTTTTTAACCACATGTATTTGAGTTTTTCAATTTGAAGATTTTGTCTATTTGAGAAAGGATCTCCCTATAGCACCAGCTGGCCTGGAACACACTATGTAGGTAGAGATGGCCTTGATCTCTGAGTTCAGTCTGCTTCTGCTTCCTAAGAGGTGACTAAAGGCATGCACCCAAAAACTTGTGTGAATTTGAAGATTTTCTCTTTTATTTCTTCTCTTCTATTTCTTAGTGAATTTTTCCAATTTTCATACAGTATAATTTGGTGTTATTTAGATTCCCTCCCCTATGCCCACTCCTTATTGACCCCTTTCCCAATATAAGGTACTCTGTTTTAAATATAATAATACCTATAGAGTCAACCACTACCTTTGCCTCTTAAAATTTTTCCACCCCCTCTTCTGCAATGATCACTGTGCCTTGGGTAAATATAGGTGTCCTATTCAGGGAAAAGTGCTCTGCAGCCTCTTGTTCTCTGAATATTGCCCAGTTGTGAATGTTGGTGTTAATCACCATCCATTACTGCATAAGGAAACTTCTCTGGCGAGAGTTCAGAGATGCACTAATCTATGGGTATAACAATTAGTCAGTTTAATACTGGTTACTTTTAGCAGAATAATGGTATTAGAATCTCCCTTATGGCCTGTGACCTGTCTGGTCTTAGGTTCCTAAGCCTGATATCAATTTCAGGTGTGGGCTTCATCTTAGGAATCGGGCATTAAATCCAATTAAAGTGTGGTTGGTTACTCCCATAATATTCATACCACTATTACAGTCATGAGAATAGCTTCCCAAGGAAGTTGTTATTGTAATTCACAGGATTCGTAGCTGGGTAGGATTGATGATCATTGTTTATCTCATGGAGGCAAGCATAGTACCTCCCAACACTATGGATACAAGGCAGTAGATATGAGACTCCGAAGTCAGCTCCAGCTTGATTTCTCCTTACTTCCTGTATAGCTCATGCATGCAAGGTCTTCAGCATAGGGTCTTACTCTGGTGGGTATCCAAGAGCAGAGGCAATGGCCAGTATTGTTGGAGGGTCCATGGGGGCACCTGATCCATAGTTTCAAAAGAGGGAGTCCATTCCTGGCATTAAGGTGTTCTTTTTTGATTAGCTTAGAAACATTTAGCCTAGACATCTTTTGATTTCTAGAAAGGACAATGTCCTCCTGTTATAGGACAACTACTTTTAGTCTCTTTTCTTGATGTATTTGTGTATACTTTAAGAGGTTTCTATTTTGGTAGGTTTTCAAATGGCTTTTTCTAAAGGCATTGTGTTATTTATTCCTCCCTGTAGTCCCTCCTCTGCCCCGATCTTCCATTCCCCACCTTGTTTAGTCTTTTCTAATGCAATGTTCCCCTTTACCCTTTCAGAGCACAGAATTCTACCACCTTTCCCAGAAAATCACTCCTCCACTCACCCAGGGCTGTTTATTAGTTTCTTCACATCTCTGAATTTTCAGGTTAAAACACGGATATCAAAGGTTTTAAAGCTGCCATTTAACTATGAGAGAGAACCTGTGATGTGGGTCTTTTTGAGTGTCATTTACCTCACTCAGGAAGATTGTTTCCACTTCCATCTATTTACCCATAAATTTGATAATTTAGTTCTTTTAAGAGCTGATTAGTATTCTATGGAGTACCATCACTTCATTATCATGGACATCTAGTTGTTTTGAATTTCTGGCTATTATGAAAAGGGCAGCAGTGAGCATGGATGAACAGGCATTTTTGTTGTAGTGTATGGAGTCTTTTGGGTATCTGCCCAAGAGTTGTTTGTTTTTGTGTCTTTGCCATTATGAGGGGATAAGATGAAATCTCAAAGTGGATTTAAATGTCATTTTTTAAATTAGCTTTTGACAACTTTTTGTGTTTGATTCCTCTGCCTGATAGAATTTAATTTGTTTAACTACTAAGTACTTATTCTTTACAACTTCACTTTCTAGCTGGACTTGGCGGAACATGGCTGTAACTACAGCTCTTGTGAGGTGGAAGCAAGAATATATGGAGTTGGAGGCCATCCTCACACACATAGATATTTTGAAGCCAGTGTGGGCAACATGAGACCCAGTATCTGAAATAAAAGCAAATAAAATAATAAAAGCTTTACTAACTCTTTGAATTTCTTTTCCAGAGCTAAGAACTTTTAGAAAATGAAAAAGGGGACACATGAACATCAAAATGGAGGTTTCAGTGTTTACAGAGATTTAAATATGAGTCAGACTGAAATACATGATGAGAAAAACACACTAAGAATGCAGGTATGTTTTAATTTTAGAATAAAAATAATTCTGAAGTTAACATGCAGTTATGTTCTAGTTTTAAAGATCTTATAACCTGAAGTCAATGAAATTTTTGCTTATCTCCTGAAATATATATTCTTTATTTGCTTGTGTCTTGATCTTTGGCTTTTAAATGAAAGCCAGCTCATATACCATTACCCACCTCCAAATCAAAAGGACAAAGCTACAGATCCTATAGTCTCTGAAACCTTTTTCATGTATTCATCATCTTTTAAAATTTTCTCTAGCATTTGGTATTTTTGTTTAGTAGAAATAGATAATATAGCAAATGTTATACATTTTAATTCTCCCAGAATTAAAAAAAAGTGCTTTAAATGTAATTATTAGAAACTTACATACGCAGATAATGCAAAAAATTTGTGGATATTTATTAGGAAATTTACAATCCATCCTTCTTTAAAGAGTTGACAGGATAGTTTTTGAAATCAACAAAATTATAACTTATTCAGCTGAATTACACAAATGAGAATACATGGTTTAAAATGTTAGCCTTAATTATATTCATGATGCACTTGCACTTTTCAACATTGCAGATGCATAACACTACTTGATAGGTTAACACAAGGTTTGTAGGGTGAACATTGTTCAATTTATCCAAAGCTGACAGTCAAAATTACAAATTTGAAAATCATTAAGTTCAGGCAGTTTGTCCAAGACAACCAGTAGTCAACATAGTACATTGAGTTGTTAAAATACAAGATCATATTATTATGGTATATAAAATCACTGTGATCCAACCATAAAATGAGTTGGTCTTCTCCATATGAACAAAATGGAAATAGTGATAAACCTCTGTTAGTAGATCAGGAAAAAGAGAAAATATTCCTAAAGTCTTCATATTCAGTAGCCAGTTTTTTTTAATACAGGAGAAGATTGAAAATGAGCCTGGGCTGTAGCTCAGTATCAGAGTATTTACCAAGCATATGGCAGGCCCCAGCTTTGATCCCCAGAAACTAGGATTTCTAGAAATTGACTCCACAATGTCAATTTTATTGCCTTTGAGAAGAGAAATGAAGATTCACTACTCAGTCAATTAATAAACACCCAAAGCTGCGTCTCTATTAATATCCATGTATTAGATCTTGTGAGGCATCTCTTTTTGATTCAGAACCACATATTGCCAGTTGTTTTTAAGCTGATATGTTTGAAGTAATATGTCCCCTCTGTTTACACTGATTAGTATCCCCTGACAAAGGAGAATTCAAATTAGGCACACACAAGTGGTTTAAGTGTTTGAAAATTGAGTTGAACTTTATAAAACCACAAAATTTCTAATATTTCTTTTGCATGTATCACCTGCTTCTCAATTTCAGTGAAGTTGTATATACTTTTTTCACTCTGTCCCTATCTGTTTGTGGTATCATGATAATGCTGGCTTCATATTATGAGTTTGCTTATTTGTGGAGTAGATTGGTATAATTTAGAATGGAATTGGTTCAGTACTGAGCTTTCATTTATACAGTCTTTTAAATACTGCCTCAATCTCAATGCTTATGGAACTCTTTAAGATTTAATGTCTTCTTCATTTAATTTTAGTAGGTATATGCATTTAGGAATTTATCGGTCAACCTGTATTTATAGTTTTTAAAATATAAGATTTTCAATATATTCTCTAGGAGTTCTCTAGATTTAATTGCATTGTTGTAACATCTCATATTTCATCTATACTTTGATGAGTTTGAGCCTTATCTTTTGTTATCTTGGCTGAGTTTGTTGATCTTGTTTATCTTCTCAAAAAAACCAAATCTTTTCTTGATTGATTCAACATATTGTTATCTCCATTAATTTCTGACTTAATACTTATTATCCCATATCATTGACTACATATGTGAATGATTTCTTCGTAGAGAATCTTGGTGTATATTATCATGCTGTTTATTTTAGAACTTTCAAAGTTATAAAAATATAAGCACAGCAGAGTTGCAGCAATTGCTCCAAGGGATTTATAGCACTGGTTGCTCTTGCAGAGGACTGGATTTAGTTCCCAGCACCCACATGGAAGCTAAAATATATTTAAAATCAGCTCCAAGGGCTCCAAAACCTTCTAATGTCTGTGGATTAAAGATACATGGTGCATGCAATCAAAACACTCATATACATAAAATAAATATAGCTAAATAAAAAATTGAAAATGGTTAAAATATGTATGTAAAGGTATTTATATATGAAGATTCCTCCTACAACTGCCTTAGATTTATCCCACATTTTTCCGGTGGTGCCAGTATCTTCATTTACTTATAATAGATTCCATATGACATTCTGAATTTCTCCACTTATCTACTGTTAAAAAGTGGATTGTATGTATTTCCATAATGTTTGTAAAGTTTCTGTTGTAGTCTCTCACTGTGAATGTGTAGTTCTATTGGTATCTAATAATATAAAATGAGTGATTTCAATTAGTTTGATAGAGTTTAGTGAACTATAATGTGATAAATTTTAATGATGTTTCTGTTGTCCTGAGAGAAGAATGTGTATTTAAAAAACATTGCAATAAACTAGGCAAATGTTTATGTGATACATGTAAGTACATGTTAAATCCAATTGATGTAAAATACAGTTTATTTTGATATTTATTGATATTCATTTTGGATTACCTATATGAAGATGAGAGCTGAGTAATAAATAATCCTATTATTGTATCAGGAATTATTTGACCTTTCATGCTTTTCAGTGTTTCTATATGAAATTAGGAGCCTGAGTATTCTTTGCATGGTTTATAACTGTTCTATCTTCTGAATGGATTGTTTCCTGCCTTAATGCACAATAAGTTTTTGATTATTTTACTGTGTATATGCATGTACTGCCTATACACAGGCGCACATGCACAAGCGTGCACACACATGTTTTGTGTGTGTGTGTGCCCATGTTGTGAAATGCCCCCAAAGGTCAGAGAGGACGTTGCATTCTCCTGGAAGGGGAGTTATGAATGGTTGTTAACTGCCATGTGGGTGTTGTTAATTGAACCCAGGTCCTCTGCAAGATTAGCCAGTGCTCTTAACCACAGGGCCATCTCTCCAGCCCCTACAATGAAACTTTTTAATCTGACTTGCTTTGGTTTGGTCTATTTTATCAGATATCAGAAAAGCTATACTAGTTTGTTTATGACTTCCATTGACTTGGGAGTTGGATTTCAGTCCTTTGACTCTGCTTTTGGATTTCATTGATACTGAGGCTTGTTTCTTGGATACAATAGGTATTTGAATTTTGATTTAGTGTAGTGAGCTAGTCTACATCTTTTAAAAAGGTGTGAGTCCATTTGGATTTTAAGGTTTTCGAGAGGGTTTGTTATCTTCTCTGGTTTGGTTACTTTTGGTTCTGGTTGATAAGATCATTGGCAATCCATTTCTTCTTCCTCTGTTAGTGTTAGGAGTGTGGAGCATGCTGGTTTTCTTGGACACATGGCTTATAGGAGAGCTCTCCTTTGTTCATGCCTTCCTCACATGGAATTTTGTGATTTCATAAATGAGGCTTTTTATCTTTTCATGAATATACTTTTAAATATTTTCTGTAGTGGTGGCTTGACTTTCGTAAGTTGCCTTATTTTCTGTTTGTTTTGAACTATCTTTCTTTTTCCACTAATTTGAAAATGTAACTTTGCTGTGTGCTATAATCTTGGTTGACAGTTTACTTTCAGGGCTTGAAATAAATCAACCATGCTTTCCTTTTTTTATGGTTTCTGACTAGATATATTATGTTATGCTATTGTTTTTGCATCCATAATTCAGGTTCTGTCTTCTCCTCATAGATTTTTGTGTTGTTTCATTGATTTGTATTTTTGGAATCTTCATATGATTTGTGATGGAGAGGTTTTGCTCTGTTGATATCTATCTGACATTTGCATTATCTCTCCTTTCTGGATGTTCATTTTCTCTCTTGGGCCCAAAGCTTAGTTGCTGTTGCTTCGCTGTTTAAATTGTCTATGGCTTCTGACTGTCATAGCTTTGTCTACACTGTGCATTGCCAGGTTTGATACTTGACTGTATCACAGAATCCTTGGAAGCATTATATTAATTTGAAGTGATAGCATTAGTAAGTAACCATAGTGATCTCAGTTGACAGTTTACTTTAATGGCATTTAGTAAGTCATCCATGCATTGCTGCATCTCATATTTAGTAACCTTCTCTACAGATGTATACATTTAATATTTTTGTCATTCGTTCTTCATATTTTTTTAGTTTTGTTTTTTTCAGTTGGTGATTCCCTTTATTTTTCTTTAATATTTTTATTGAGTTTTTGTGCATTTCGTATAATAGATCATAATCAAATTTATACCCCGTCCCCCATCTATGCCACCACCACAGCTTCTATTTTTAATAGTAATACATATACTGAGTCTTTGAGGATATTTAATACGCTGTATTTTGATAGTATTCAGACTTTCTGCTCCATCTATTCTCATATAAATTATAACACACAACATTCCAACACACTAGGCCCTCACTTCCTGTCCTCTATTATTATAAGGTCTACAAGTCTAATTTCTGTTACCCAAATGCAACTGGTTGCACATTATTCCCTGGAGCCTGTTCAACCTACCAAGCATCACAATCATTTTTTTTTTCAATGTACATTTCCATCAATTTTTGAGCACATCGTATTAAACATCTTAATCATATTTAGAGCCCATCCCCCATCTGCACCCCACCAGATTTCATGCATTATATCGTATATGTTAAGGCATATCAAATCAAGTTTGTGTACCCAGATGTCTCTCAGTGCAAGTTTTTCCACTTGAGTTTGCTCAGACTATCTAGAGTCAATGCTTAAAGAAGATAAACACTCACCTAGCAGTAATCAGCTGCCAATACAATAGTTCTTCAGTTAAGGTTGGGGCTCACTGTCCATTTTTCCAGTTCTAACCTGTTTGTTTTTTTTTTTTTTTTTTTTTGTTTGAGTT